GGGGGGGGGAGTCATTTCAAATACTTTTATTCCTTAGCACTCTTAAGTTCGTCAGTGCTTCATTTCAACGGTTGTTCAGGTAATCGAGCAGCGGATATAGATACTAGGCCGTCATCGACGTCTAGTGTGAAACAGGAATTGAAACTCTCTTCAGGGACCACTCAGGTGTCTCCAACTCCACCACTTCCAGAATCCTCTTCAAGTAACTTGCTTGATTTTACAGCTGAGGATTTCGAAAAGTGGTTGGATAGTACACCAGATTCGCCAGTTAAGGCATCTCAACGTATGACTGCTATTCTTTTCTGGTTACTTTTTAGTTTAGTTTTTTGAGAGAGTATAACACGCTATCAAAGGTATTTCTCATTTTTCTTATATTACTTTAGGCCATCAGTCTAAAGTAACTGCTCTTACTTATTCTTGTACTTCCTGGAGATTTAAAACCTTATTTTCTTAGGAAAGGACACGGAAGGCGTATCTTCATTTGCTGAAGTTGGTAATCCAGGATTATCGGCTGCAGGTGATTTTGGGATGTCCCCTGAGTCGCCCTCCGTCGAGACGCTAAATAATAAGATGGATTCATTGAGGGTTGAGGACACTTCGGTGTCATCCTCTTTTGGGTCTTGCGAATTCCAGGAGGTTTTTTTCTAAACTTGTTTGAATTTATTTAGATTGATGGCTTTTTTAAACGGTTTTGCGGAATTTTGTTACTCGATTGTTGCTAGGTTTTCTTCATTTTGGCGTTTAGGTGCGACAGAGTTTCGTAAATACGTTATTTTTCAGAAAGGAAGGACTAAAAAAGTGAAGAAGAAGGGAACAGGCGGTGGAACTTCAAGTTCTAAAAAAAACAAAAAGAAGACTAAAACAACACCGTCAAGCTCTGTTGAAGATCATAAAGATCAAAGCTTGTACGACGAGCTTTAAAAGATCAATTGTGCGGTTCCGTTATGCGTCTATTTTTTCATGTCGTTGAAGTCTCCTTTGTCTTTGTAAATTTGATTTTACTGTACTTGTTGTTCACAGCTTGTCTTTTTTTTTCTGTGAGAAATGCTCAAATTCTGAACTTCCGGTTTAGCGAAAGAGGTGCGCGTTCTTGAGTGACACTATCGTAACAATTGGGTTTATTGTTCTTCTTGGATCTTGTAACACCTAATTTTCCAGTCTTGAAGCATATTTTTTTCTTTATCGGCTAAAAGCCTTCTAAATATTGTGATACTTTCCTTACTTCCTCAGCACGTTGTTTATTTATTTATTTTACTTGCACTTGTTCTTTGCTCTGTGCTTGTTCTTGTAAGCTTTCTGGGAATATAAGTCTTGCTTAGGGTCATGTGATCTATCAGTTTGGTTTTGCTATGATTGTTCTGTGTAAAAAGTTAAGAAAATCAGTTGGATGAAGAAGTAAACTGTTTTTTTTTTCACTTGCGCTCTAGCCGTCGTGCATTTTTAGTGTTTATGAACTTCTGTGGTCAGCTTTTCTTCCTCAAGCAGTGTTATACTTCAAATACCAGAGGCGATCATGTTTATTCGGACTGTGGAGGCTGGTTGGGTTTTTGTAAGTACAGTACGGCATGAATTTTATCCCAACAACTGTATGAGATTATAGAGCGACAGTTTTTGTTAAGCGCTTTAGATAGTCGTCATTATGTTATTGGCCTGATTTTTGCTCCTCTTTTTGTATATTAGTTTAATGTTTTAAGATTGGGTGGGGCTCTGGGCATCGGTGAATTTGGGGGACGTGTAACTGTTTTTATGTTGCAGGCTTGAAATATGACTGATGTTTGGAAGTCGAATGCTAGAAAGTTTTGCGAGATTTGTAAGGTATGAATTTTTCTTGTCGCTAAGTTGAGCTTTTTTGAACCAACGTCAAGTTTTAATATCTTGCCTTAATTGGACACATTCTAAGAGGTTAATCTGTGGTAGTTTCCTAGTGGCTGGCAATGTCCGAGGAGCGAACGAGGTAACAGTGCAACTAGGTATTGCTGGTATCTGGTTGTGGAAATATTGTACTAGTTTCTTCAGTAGGCTTTTTAAGGTGTGGTTTGCGGATAATCGCGTTAGCATTGAACATCATGAAGCTGGTCAGAAACATAAAGCAGCTGTTCAAGCTAAGTTGCGTGAACTTGCCAAACAGAATAAGGAGAAGGAACGAGCTGTAAGTCCTCCCTATTTTCTGCGTCAGTATTGTACTACTCGTTCTGGGCTTGGAGGTATGAAATGTCATTACTGCTGCGATAAGTACTGTTGAAACCTAAAAAGAAAAAACGTTTTTAGCGTATCAGAAAGTGAGGATCTTGAAGTGTTAGGCTTTTTGAGAGATTCTTTTGCTCCTTCATCATGGATTGTTTTCCAGCTGAGAAACTAGAAAAGTTTGGAAGGTGAGAATTTGTAATCGACAAGGCTGACGTTTAAGATGAATAGTTAAAAATTCTTTGTCACATCTCCTGAAATATACGGCCTAAGTTTGTCATGCGATACAACAGAAATATCTTTTGGCATAAGAGATTAATTAGTCTTGGTCGGAGGTCTTGAAAGGTATTGCATAATATCTTCACTACTGAGAGGCATTGGGTTAGTTCCCTTCAACCTCAGAGGGTTTTACCAAAAAGATTCTAAATAGTGAGCTGGATATTTCGCGCGTAGGGATCCGTTTTTACGACTTGCTGCATCTTCTAATTTGCGTTTTAATGCTGAAGCCTTCGAGGTTCCTGTTTCAAACTTTTCTTTCATTTTACGTTATAGTGTGCTTAGATCGGATTCTTTTTGAAAGACTAGTGCGCAAGGGGCATTTTATCTAATTTGTTATGATTCATTTGCCTATTCGGTCAGTTAGGAGTGCCACTTTCAAAAAGAATGGAGTTTATTTCCATTGCTAATACCTGCCGCATCGTTAGCTCTTCAAGTATTTTTTCTGGATTTATAAAGATTATTTCTTTGGAAGCACGGACGTGTCACGATCTAAAGGGGAGGTGTAGAATTCGAGGGAATCAAAAAAATAATGCGAAACCTAGGTCTGGAACGCTGAAAGGAATGTTGTGAATTGGTTTGTGGAACAAAATTAGCTAAATGAGTAATCTTTTAAAAAATTTACAAAAGGAATAAAGTCGTTACCGAAAAGGCATTTCATGCTTTTCAGCTTAGCATTTGAGCAGTTGCAATTAGAATTTTTTTGCAGAACGCGTCTCTAGAGGCAACTCTTGCAATGATGGAATCTGCGGCGTTGAGCAGCATGGGATCACAAGCGACAACATCAGCGATTCCTTCTTGTAGGAAACAGCATTACTTTTTCATGTTTGTTTGCTCTATATTGAATTTTATTAGAATTGTTTGGGGTCTTTCCCGCCATCTCAAACAAAACTTTACAGGTGCTTCTTTTGGTCCAATGCCGAAACCGAAACAGTATCTTGATCCTAGAGCGCACAGAGCATCGATAGCAGAAATGGCAAAGGAGATTGCTCGTCGGAAAAAAGAGGTTATAAGCATGTTTTTCATAGAAAATTGGTTGCTTTTATTGGCAGTGATTTATTTTAAAAGAAAGAGGTGGAGAGAGTTCTTCCCTTGTCTACAAGGAGTTTTAAACACTAAAGTTCATATAAAGAAATACCGTCGAGTATTGGTAATTTTTTAATATCCAGCTCTTCCTTATTTTTGTTTAAATTTATTTCAAATATTTTTATCAAGAGGAATTTTTAACGGTTTGTAACCAATGAGGTTCTAAGGTATAAATTGAATTTTACATGGCGTATTGTCGTATTAGTGGCCAAAAACATTTTCATCTTGATAAAGTCGATTTTTTTGAAAAGTATTTAGTAAATAGGAAAGTTTATACCATAGCATTTTTGTTTAGTGATCTTCAAAAAATTTTGTATGGTATTAATTTTGTTTTTTTTTTTCAGTTCTTGAGCAGAAAAAATGATGGTATTACGAAAACAGAGCCGTTCCCTGAAGAGCATGCTGCCAAAGAGCTATCAGGAGCCACCGATGAAGATCCTGTGTGGGTGGAAGCAATGACAGAAACTGGCGTACCTTATTATTTTCACATGTATAGTGGAGGTCGGCTTTTTTGTGCACAGAATTTAGATAACAGCTGTTTTAGTATGAAATTTTTGTCTGCTCTCATCCGACATTCTTTTATTTTGTTAAAAAAACTCAGAGTTTTAGAAACAAGCTGGCAAGCTCCGTCAAGGTACTTCACTTCAGAGCAGTATGCTCTGAAATATGCAGCTTTAACAGGGGATTCTTCACACTTCCAGCCAACGATACCAGGTTAGTTTCTCTAAATTACCAAGTTTCCGTAGGTTAGCTGGTTTTCGTATATTTTAGTTGATTCCGCTGTTCAAAATACGGAAAGTAGTGAAAGTGCATCAACAGCTTCTTTACCACCGGTGAAAGAGGAACCTTTGGACGAAGTTGAAGAAACGACTCCAAAACAAGAAATATCTCAGGAAGAAAGCATTGCTATGGCAGCAAATTTTCGTTTAGAAGATGCAAACATTCCTTTGCCACCACCTTTGAAAACTGAAGTTTCCGAGGCAGTTATTTAATTTCATAATTTTTACTAGAAATTTAGAGATGAACTCGTTCATCTTAGCTCTTCCTTCATACCTTTTCTAGTGCAGTGAAAGAATCACGGTTTTAAACAGTAATATGAAATTTTTTTAGTCTTTGAAAATTTGAAGTTTTCTCACTTATCTGATTTAGAAGCGCGCTGCTTTAGCATAATACAGCAGTTTTTTTGTAGAGTCAAGGGGGAAACTTTTCAAAACCTTCGAAAGAGTTTATAAAAAGGGAGATATTGGATGACTACGAGGATGATGGGGAAAATGCTGGTTCTCATGCAGATAAGACGACAGAAGTGGGAGGCAGTTGCGCAGTAAAAAGCGAAGCTGAAGATGATTCTATTCCTGCTGAAAGAGGAGATACAGAAGAGCTTAGGAGCGAGGAAGTGAGCGATCCTGCTCACTCAGAAACCATTCACGAAATTTTTAAAAAGAGCGAACATCCACTTGGCGCTTGGAAACGTGTTGGATCATCTCCTGAAGCCCCAAAAATGTTAATTTTGTTCAGTTGTTACTTGTTTTTCTTTTTTTTGTTTACCACTTATAAGTCTTCCGTTTTTAGCGACTTTCAACTTCCTACTGAAGCTGAAGGAAGGAAAATAAAACCGGAGGTTGAAGTAAAACCTGAAGATATAGTTGTCTTTACTGAAAAGACAGCTTCCTTACCTAAAAAGAAAAAGAATTTGGATGCTCCAATAGAATTCAAGAAACGAAAAACAAATCTCAATATTCGGAGACAGAAGAACGGTACATAAATTGAACATCTCCTGCGAACGCTCTTTGAATTCATCCAGTTTTTAATGCAGACAGCTGTTGGAACACTGGGCTTGAATATTACTATTGTTTGTTTTTTTACTTTTCGTGTGTTACTTTATTCTTTTTCTTACCTTTTTTTTGATCGAGTTTTGCTTTGTATTTTTGGTGATACTTCACTTCAGTTGTTTTGAAAATGCCTGTAAGTAGCACAAAAATCATTCGTTATTTTTCTCGTAACCGTTTTTTAAAATTTTGGGTAGCTAGCAGTGCTCCTAAGAGGGTTAACGAAAACTCACTGGCACTTTTTGACGTCATAAGGATTAATTTTGGTGTAAGGCAATTGATTGTTTGAAGTTTCCGCAGTTATCCTATGGCATCGCTATTAAATCATGATGAAATGAACGTGATCTCAGGGTGTTCACTGGTTTTTGTAATGTAACTTCCTGGTTGAATTCATTAGTTTTTCGGCGCATATTTTCTGGTCACTGCGCACATCTGGTATGTAGCTTTTTTCTCCTGACTAGACTGTCATGTTGTTTCACGCATAGCGTTTTCGTTCTTGTTATCCATCCGTGGAAAGAATGGTTTCGGTATACCACCAATTTTCAACTGTTTCAGCAAAAAATAGCAAAGTCTCTTATAAATATCAGTTTTAACGTTTGTAGTGCAGGGTAGCAGCAAATATTCATATACAATAACAAGCAAAATCCACATCATAAATTTAAATTATGGTGCTTTACAGGAAAAAATGAAGTGGAACAAATCAGTAGTTGGTAATGACAGTTCTAGTTTTGATGTAGGAAAGTGACGCTTCAATTGACCTTCTGGCGTTAATAATAAGAGGATTTTGCCCGTATGGCTGTGTGTAGATATCCAGCAGAAAGAGATAGTTTAATCACGATAACAATTAGCATGAAAATCCCGGATGCCATAAGGACGCGGTCAACGAGATCCCAAAGTTGATTGGTGCAACTCTAGAACAGTTTTGTTTTTATTAAACAAAATTCTTGGAAAGGTTTTTTTACTGCTGAATATTCTTTGGTGAATAAGTTCTTTCAGAACTCTACAGTAAGGTGGTATCATTTTTTGAACACGTCGTTATAACTCAGGCACTTCAGCTGTCATTACACGAAGATTGAATGTAGAGCTCAGTTAAACTTCTCTTGAAAAAAGGATTTAAATGAAGATTTCGAAAGACTATGTGTCGCACCAACAAGTTTTGGAGGCTTCTTCCTTCTAGACATCAGGAGCTATTCTGCTGATGTCCTTTCTAGAATGGTGACTAATAAGCAGGACTTTTTATAGGAAAAATTCCGTGCTTTTTATCAGACTTGGAAGTATTTCATTGTTTTGGCAGCTAAATGACCGAAAGTTTTATAGATAAACACAGCGAAATTTTTTACTACCAAAGTTTTCAAAAATTGACTTACCACTGCTTCCGTTCTGAGGCTTGGTGGACAGTGTGCATAATAAAGGCTGTTACCACAGCATTTGAAACGATCTTCCAACGTCATCATGAAGTTCATATCTTTGGCATAAATGTTAGAGAGGAAAGTGTCAATTGCGGGCTTAATCTAAATTTCTTTTACACACTTATTTAACTATGTAAAACTATGCCTATAGTTATGCTTGTAATTACAAATTCCAAGTGTCAAGGAGGGATATATGGACTGCATGTTTTC